GATTGTTTCAGAGATCATGTATTCCTCCTTCCTTACTTGTCGTCTTTTGTGGCTAGTTGATAAGTACTGGTAGTATGCTTTGATTTCTTGCATTTTATCTTTTGTATATCTGCTGTAGGTTTTTGCTGTTTATTTATCATGAAACTTAGATAAAACATCTTTTAAATAGGTTATTTTGAACTAATAACAATTTAACTTCAATCCTATAAAAAAATTACACTTTTAATCTACCTTCACATTTTACTTTCTTATGTCACAATTTATATCTTTTTATTTTATATCCCTTCACAAATTATTGTAGCTATTATTCTTATGTATTTGTCTTTTAATACTAAAGATGTAAGTGGTTTTCACATTGCCATTACAGTATCAGAGCATTCTGAATTTGACTGTGTTTATTTGGACCAATATGTTGTATAGTTTCTTGTGTTCTCATGGTACTAATCAGCATTATTTTCTTTCACTTTGAGAATTATTTTTAGCGTTCGTAAGACAAGTTTAGCAGTGGGCTTCCTTAGGCTTTGTCTGGGAAAATCTGTATCTTATCTTCATTTCTGAAGGTATCTTTGCCAAATACAATATTCTTGGCTGACATATTATTTTCCTTCAGCACTTCCAATATATCATCCCATTTTCATCTAACCTGTGTTTCAACTGAGAAATCTGCTGTTACCCTCACTGGAACACCTTTGTATGTGATTTGATTCTTTTGATAGTTCCAGAGTTCTCTCTTTGTCTTTCATTTTCATTTATATCTTTACCCAGATTAAGAAACGTTTCTTTTCTTTCTTTAAGTCATAAATGTTCTATTCTTTCTTCTCTCTGTTCTCCTTCTTAAACTCCTGTAATGAGTGCATAAGAAAGCCTGGTAACAATAGTGAGTTTAGTTAGATCACAAAATTAATATACAAAGCTCAGTCATTTTCATATGGAAGGAATTAAAAAATATGACAGAAACAGAAATTCCAGCATAACAGCAAAAATACTTATAAAATGCCTGGAATTAACTTGATAAGATTGTAGAACTTAAATGAAAGAAAACTACAATAAAAAGCCAGAGAAGGACCTAAGAAAAGGTGAATTTTGAATAAATAATAGACCATATCATGCTTCCAGTTGGAATAGCCATGAGTGATTCCAATGATCCTAAGTTTTTCAGATTTACTGGCTCAAATGATTCTTTGGCAGCTGAGTAAAATGACTGATCTCCATATATTGTGGAAAGTCTACCACTTTTTCAAAAACTGTAAGTATTTCCACGGATGATTTTGGGGCTCATGTTCCCCTTTAACATAGTAAACAACAGTTATTGCTTTGTGTTTTTATTACTGTATCTGGTTATCTTTGAGTCCTTGCTTTAGTAAACATGAAAATTGTAAAGAAAGCACAATTTTACAGGAAAAGAAGTTTTAATTGGTAAGTTAGAGAGGTAATAGGAAAGGACTTGAGCTTAGGTAGCTGGTAGGGACACACTCTGATACAAGGATTCAGAATGACCCACCTATAAGGCCAGAGGCCAGCATTTAAAGCTGAGCTGCTAGGCTGGAATCCAGTTGATCATTCTCTCAGTGCTGGAGTCATAGTTCTGGAATCTTTATTGCTAAGGGCTGGTTTCATCCCCAGGAAGGGATTATCTAACTATGGTGGTCTCAATCATGTGAGCTTCCTCTTTTCTGAAATCCGGGGGATCACAAGCTTAGGACAGTTGCTGGAGGCTTCTGGGCATAGCTGACTGTCTTTGTAAACCTCTTTTCTTGCTGTAGTCAGTCTTGAAAAGGAATGAGATCCCGTAAATCCAGGTCTAATCAACCCTGTCTTGCCAGGTCCTAGAAAAACACTCTCCATATGAACACTATACCCTTATGCAAAGCTAAGAAGAAATTTGACCCAAGATTTACAGTAAGAAAGGATATTAAAAATCAAACTTCAATCTGCTTTTAGTTACCTATTAGGCACACATAGGCTCAAGAGAAAGGTCATAGCAAAAATGCTTTTTAACTTCCTGACCATCCCAGGAGAAAACACAAATCATGCTTTTAATGATGAGCAGGTGAGGACCCAAAATTCTTTCATGTTTAATGAATGCTTACCTTATCCCAAGCCCTCTGTAGATATGTATTAATCATGGCTTATGACTGCTTGGGCCTTTGCTCCTAAGGTTCTCCCTTGGTTTTAGATATGTATCTTTCTCTTTCAATGACCCTGTCAAGTACTACTAGTACATAGCTATTCTGTATAAGACAGTCCCTGATTTTGAGAATATCAACAGTGAATGGTCAATCATAGTGGAGACTGAGAACAGATGCAGTATGTAAAGTACAAATTACATAAAATATAAAATAGGAAAGAATTAAAGTTCCTAGGTCATCCCTTGTGGGGAAAGTCTTACCTTATCTTTATTTTTAGGTCTAACCTGCTACCACCTTTCTGAATCACCTGGTCCTGTCTCTTGTCATGTCCTGTTTATCATGTCAGTCTCTCCATTTTCGAGACTTACTAACCCCTCAGTTATGGCTTAGATCTAAAATGACCCCCAGGTCTCATGTGATTAGAGGTGGGGCCTTTGGAACGTGATTGGGGCATGAGGATACTATGGTCATCACTGGTCTGTTAATGAGTTCATAGTTCACTATGCTGTTGGGAGGTGGGGCTCCTTGGTAGAGGTGTGTCACAGGGGATGTGCCCTTGGAGAGTGTATCTACCTCCCCCGCTCCTCCACTATCTCTGCTTCCTGGCTACTGTGAGGTGAGCAGCTTCCCCCATCCTGCTCTTCTGCCATGCCATGTCTACCTTGAAGACATCAGCCATGGACTGACCCCTCCGAAAACCATGACCAAAAATAAGCCTCTCCTTCTTTAAACTATGGGGTTTGCGTATTTTGTCCCAGCCATGGAAAGTCACTAATGCACTCACTTTCTTAAACTGTAGTCTTTGGAAACTCAGTCCTACTATAGTTTTATGACTAAATAATTTAATTCTCTTTCTTACCTTATTCATGGGTGGGGGATTTAATTTGCTTAACTTAAAAAAAAAAGTAATGGAGCTATTGTGACCCTTCTCCCACCCCCAAAAAGAGCAGTTCTCACTTCCTAAAATAAATTCCTCTGATCTCCTGAGCAACTCATTTTAAAGTATTTATCTATTTAACTCTATCTGGATTTTGAAAGGATAAAGTATTTCCCAAGAAAATAAAATATAATTCCAACTATAGTCACAATGATTTTTTCTGCAACATAATAAGATGATCTTAAAAGTTAATTTGAAGTAAAATATAAACTGAAACAAGACAACTCTAAAAAGAAGAATGGAAAACTAACTCTGTGAAGGATTTAATATAAACATTTACTGTTCTAGTGGAGGAAAGAGCAATCAAAAATAAAACATAACATGAAGTCCAGAAACAGGCCTAAGAACATAAAAGCATTCAGAATGTAATAAATGAAAGTAAGAATACCAGAAAAAATATAGCAGATATTTTAAGGAAGACATTTCTAGCCATGAAAGAGACAAAGTGATGTGAGGAGAGGAGAGGGTATGTAGCATACTTACCAAAAAAAAAAAATTTAAATCCAACATGTTATATATGGATGAACCTTGAAAATATTATGCAAAGTTCAAAAAAGTACTAGACACCACAATAACTGTGTCTGTATAAACTACCCAGAATAGTCAAATTCATAGAGAAAAGACATTAAATTAATGATTGCCAGGGAAAGGGGAGAATGACTACTAATTAACATTGGAAGTTTCTTTAGAGTGAAAAAGATGTTCTAGTATTAAGTGGTGATATGTTTGAACAACTTGTATATATACTATCATCCAGTCAATTGTATACCTAAAAAATTAAATTTTGTAATATGTGAATTATATTTCAATAAAAATTATTATTATTATTGATACTGAGATTTGAACTCATTGTACTTGCCAAGCAGTTGCTGTTCCACTGAGCTATATTCCTGGGCTCCCAATAAAAAGTTTAAAGATAAATCAGTTCCACTTTTGTCATATGAAAACTTGCATGTCAGTAGAGAATAATCAAAGAATATTAATTTTTAACATAATTGATAATTGATAAATGTATAAAGTACAGATTAAATAAATGAGATGAAATATTTACCTATTTGCTTGGCAAAGATGAAAAGAAATTTTAATTTTCCATCATTGAGTAGAACGTCGTCTAAATATTTATTCTAGCATACAGCCTATTGATGTGGGAAGTTTCTCAGTGTATTTATTTCAAAAGATGTAAATTGTTTCCTTATATTTCCATCTCTAGGAACTGAAATAGTTTGACATTTAAAATAAGGTTAGTAAAACTGTAGTAACAACACAGAAAGATGCCTTTGCTTGTACAAAGAAAAACTAAAAATTTACAATTCATAGAATGACATAGACCAAAGTTACATAAACCACATTCCCAGAACTAGAGAGATGTACCCTGAAATCTCAGCATTCACTGTCACCTATTGTGAGGGTAATAGGTAACTTGTACTTTTTTTGTATTCTTATCTACATTTCCTGTTAATGTTTTCTAAATATTCCATACCAGGAATATGTTTTGTAATTAAAAACAATAAAAAGTTATTTTAAATGATACAATTTTCAAGGATGATGAAGCTTTCTGGTTTGTTTGGGTTTTTTTGTTTTGTTTTTGTTGTTGTTGTTGTTGTTATTGTTGTTTTGTGACTACCTTTCCAGGAATGAGATTAGAAAAGAAATGTGTTTTTCCTTTTAAGCCCAGAGATTTTGGCAAAGTCTATAGCTGTGCATGTGAGTTTCCTTCAGAGCAGTGTATGGTTTCAGGGTGTAACCTACAGATCAGTGGTAATTTATAACATAGACCATTATAGATTAAACAGTTCATGGTGTATCTACCTCAGATTTTCCTGTCCCAGATGAAAGTATTATAGGCTTTGCAACCAGGCTATGTTGAGTAGAGATCTTTCTGATACTAAATTCTGTTCCCTGGAAATAACAGTTTTCTTCTCCTGTTTTCTTAGACAGAATCATGAATAAACTGGAGGATAAGCAGGACCAGATGATACCATGAAGAGAAGTTTACAGGCCCTCTATTGCCAACTGTTAAGTAAGTTCATAATGTGTCTTCTTTCTTAGAATATACCATGTTACTGCTTGCAAAGTGCCAGAAACATACCCAGGGTTGGGTCAATAAAAAAGAAGAATAAATTTTCCCTCTGCTTCATCTGGATAGAGTACCAAGCATTAAGTCATTCTAATGTGTTGAGCATCAGTTATAAAACAGACTCCATTATAATAATTCTATCATGATATGTTAAGCATAGCTAATTTGAAAATGCTTGTCCAAAATGTTCTTGCTCTTGGTTTTGTAGTAGAATAAAGATAAGATCTTTCAGTAAAAACTTCTATAGGTTACTGATGGGAGAAGAAACTGTACATTGCGTTTTGTCACATAGAACCTGTTATCATTCAGGGACTATATGCCCTATGGCTTGAAATGTTGTATACAGTTATGCTTCATTCTCAAATAATGAGTAGTTAAAATGTGATTTCTTTGTTTTGTGGTAAAATGATGAGAGGTTATGACTTTCTGCATGTTGCTAACATAACACAAGATTGTGCCACAAAGCACCAGTGCCTATTGATTGCCTGTACAGCCTGCAAGATTGGAATTGTCACCAGACAGATTTAAAAACCACTACTGACTCAAGAGTCTGATGTTCCTATTGACCCATTTGGAACAATAGGAACTGGCCATTCCAGGTCAAACCAAAGCTGTGGATTTGGAAACCTCAAGTGCTGTTTTGTATACCTGCTAAGGTAAATGGAGAGCTATCTTTCTTAGAGTAAGCAGCACCTTGTTAACTTATACAAAGAACATAAAATGAAAAGAGATTAATATGCAAATGACCATCCTGTCAGCCATTTCCGTGTGGTAATTCAGGTTGTGTTTTTGCACCCCTGTGCAAAGCACTTTATCTACAGACAACATTCTGACTGAGAGTTTTAATTGACTCATTTCTTGTGCTGAATTCTAATCCCTGAAACAGATCAAGTCAGGCTCTTTCAGCCTAGTGGAAAGTCACCAAGAGTTGTGGGCACACTCTTAGGTTCTTTTTCCTTGTGCTCGATAAGACTCTGTTTGTTGCCTTTTTTGTGATAAGCTTGTTTGGTAGTAAAAAAGCTTTACAGATTGAAAAAGCAATGTCATCAGGGGATGATTAACTCTGCCTTGATGGGAAAGGGGGCATTTGAAGGATAAACAGGATTTCACACATGCACCTAGTAGGGAAGGCAGGCTTTGCAGTAAGAGAACCAAGAAAACAGCAGAGAAGATTTGGGAGGCAGCATAGAGTTTTTTAGTTCACCTGTGCTGATTGTGTATCCCGGAGTTTATGTAATGTTTTTGCGTAAGTTACTGTACAGTTCAGAGACAAGTTTTATCCTGTGGCAAGGTCCATCTTCTAACCTGAACCAGCCATAAAAGGTGAAGGGAATTGAAACATCAGAAGTGCTGGAAACAGCTGTAGAAGTCAACTGTGTTTCAATTCTTCCTTGTTTGCAAGGCTTGCTAGGATGTACGCACAGCTCAGAGTAGGTTTTTCTTTGCTGGTTAGGAAATAAGTAGCAACCCTCGCTAAGCCCCCCTTAGTATTGGCAGGCATACACAATGCAGTAAGTGTTTCATTGGTAGCCAGTTATTATTTATGTTACACTAACATTAGTCACAATACAATGTTTTGAAAACTAATGAATCAACAGAAACATATAATATGCTATTATAAGTAACTCAGCAAACCAGTTTTATAATTTAGGGAAAAAAAACACCTGACTATTCTGGTTATTCATTTTCTTACTGTACTCTACAACTGCATGGCTTAGGCAGTAACAACTGTTCATTATGCTCATGAATCCGCAACCTGGGCAGGTTTTGGCAGACACCCCTGTCTCTGCGGCACAGTATCTGGGACCTGGGCTGGAGTGGTTCCAGCAGCTAGAGCCGTGGGGGCTGCCCCAGGATGTCTCCTTCCATGGCCTACTTGTGAAAGTTTCAGCTTCCACACTGTGCTGACCTCCTGGCAGCCAGAGTCCTTACATGAGAGCTTGCCTCCATGAGGCTAGGTTGTAGGTCCCACACAATGTATTAGTGAGCTTTTTATCACTATAACAAAACCCTTGAGGCAGTCTGCCTTTATAAAGAGGTCTATTTGGGTTCACTATTAAGGAGATGCAAGGTATAGGGGCCACATCTGGGGATGCCTCTCATGCTGACAGAATCCCAAGATAACACAAAGCATCATGTGGTAAGAGACAAGGACTATGTGTGCATATGTGTGGTCTCTTTCCCTCTTCCTATAGGATTGTCAGCACTCAGTCAAGTGGGCTCCATCCTAATGGGTTCATCTAATCTGAATCACTTTTCGAAAGTTTTACCTGTAAACATCACAGCCACATTAAGTTCTCATCCTCCCCTCATACTAGGGATTAATTCTCAACATGTGAGGCTTTAGGGAACACTCAAATCATGGCCAAACCATAGCAATAAGTCATGTATACCACATTGTACTGACCAAGGAATTTGCTAATGTCAACTCTAATTCAGAGGAAAAGGAATTAAGCTCTGGCTCTCAATGGGAGGAGTAGTAATAATTTGTAATTAACTTTAGTCTACTATAGGAAGTATCTGCTCAGAAAAAAATCCTGCTTAGAAAACAGGCATAGAAACTGCTTTCCCTTGAGCACCTGCTGTGCTCAGAGGTTTTTGCTGATCCCTTTCCACAAGTCATCTCATTTGTTCCAGTGCTTCATGCTTCAGGGTGAAAAGTGTTTCAAACAAATTCGTTAAGGACTGGCCAAGCGTAGCCAGGCAGTAAGTGATGGAGCAGCAGTCCACATCCAGGCCGCTCTGACCCTTGCCCACATGCCATGTTTTCCTTTTTGTGGTGGTGTCCCTGTTGGAGAATGTTGAAGCTGAATACACATGCAGGGCTGTTGTGTGGCCCAGGCTTGGTGAACTGAGAATGAGGAGACACCTCAGGGGGCAAGATAGGCCACAGATGAGGCCACCTGGAGACTTTCTGGATAGTTTTCCTTAATTAGCATTGTGTGTTGCTCTGAGGGGTCCTTGAACCCCTCCCAAGATCCTGCTCAGGTTTCCTCCATTGTCCACTCAACTACTTGCTTGTTCTGATTAAATTCGGGCTGCCTAGAGTCCATCAGCCAGGAAGCAGAGTTACGAGCTCTGCCAACAGTTTCACTCTTCTTACAGCCCTAAAGACATATGCCATGCGTCTCATTTCTTTGAGCCTTCGCCGTTTACCTATTTGGGGTGTTGGGAGTCTAGACACAGACCCGAATAGCGTCCCCAACCCATACAGGAAAAAATCAACGGTGTGGCCCCTCTTGTGGCTGGCAGGGGTGGCTATAACCCATGATCAGTAAATTTTACATCCTCTTATTGTTGTTAGATGAAACAAACAAACAACAACAACAACAACACCTAGCTCCTCTCCGGACAAGGTCACAGTTAATAATCACTGTGTCTGTATGTCAATTGGGGCTGAAGGGTATAGTCTTTGGCACACAAGGGCAATTGAAATTTTAATATTTTGTTTTTATTGGGTTTAATCTCTGTGCTAAAAAAAAAAAAAACATAAAAACAACTTTATTAGAACTGATTCTCTCTGCATTATTTTATTTTGGGGCTGCACTCTGCAGTGTTGAGCATTTTACCCCACCAGCTTCAGCCCTGTGGGGAAGTTTAACACATTTTATATGATGCCTTGAAACAGCTGGAGCCTGGGGATGAGTAGCAATAAGAACTTTTATGAAAACTTAAAAAACAAAATGCTATCTTCATTTTTCGTTTCAAGAACCATATAATCAGTTAAGTGTGAAGCCAGTGCTAATAACCTGGGTTTCAAAACAAGAACCTAGGGGCTGGGGCTTTAGCTCAGCGGCGTAAGTGCCTGCCTTGCAAGTGTGTGGTCATGAGTTCGATCCCTGGTACCGATAAAAAGGAAAAAGACAAAAACAAAAAACAAAAAATGAGAACCTAGATCTCAAGTCCTAACACTACCACATTCTAGGTAGTTTTAAGTGAGGTAGTTAACCTAGGAAACCTCTGGTATAAAATGGGACATGATTTGACCATTTTATGGTGGTACGGGGAGAGACACAGCATGCAGAGGGCCTACACTAAGTGCCAGTTCCCTTGCTGGCTTCCCATCCAGTGCTGAGCGCAGCCTCACTGGGAGTATCCTATAGCATTTATGTGGGATCTTCTGGGTCACAAAGCATGTTCCTACCCTGTGATCCCCACAGCAATGCCATAAGGCAAATGGGGCATTAATTGTTATTGACTGCATGCTACAGAGGTGGGAATCAGTGTGATCCCACCCTTTCCCAACCTTTCCCAAACCACATCACAGTTTTGTTCAGTAGCAATGGAAAGGCACGTCACTACAAACCTGTAAGATCACGTCACCCTCCAGAAGGCACCGAGTCTGGGTCACGAGTAAGCAGGCTTTGATTTTGCATGGGTGGATATGTATGGAAATGTTTTATTTCATTGTTAAAACTAAGATAATAATTATAATCTTATGAAAATATAGAGTCTTTGTATACTGATGTCTATTCAAATCAGAGTTGTTTGACTACTTAGAATTAGGGAATAATTACATTTAGTAATTTAGATGTTTGCTTGACACCTACACATTTGAATTTCTTAATTACATTCTGTGTTATTATTCATGTATCCTGTGTGTTCACTCATGCATGCGCTGTGTATGTTGTTCTCTGTTGACCGTGCAAAACAACCCTCTGTTCAACTAGATAACTGCCAGCAGGTCCTTGTCTCACTCAGGAAGAGGAGGAGGAAGTGAAAGAAGAGAAAACAATCTCCTGGTGTGGATTTCGACTCCTACCTTGTAGAATTTAGAGAGAAAAGTGTGCCTCTCCTTTTGTGTTATTCTTACCTGAACCATGGAGATTGTGTCTCAGTCTTAGATTTGAATTATGCATATCCACACAAACGTACCCGCGTTACCCACCTCTGTAGACTCTTCTAGGTGTAAAGAGAAACTGATTGTATGTAGATCTCATTTC